CCAGCAAGTCCCAGGGATTCACCTGTCTCTGCCTCCCCAGAGCTGGGATTCAAAGACTGTATCAACATACCTGGCCTTTTGCTTGGATGCTGGGGATTGAACTGAGGTCCTCAGACTCTAGTGGCCAGTACTTTACTGACTGAGGTCTCTTCCCACTCTCAACCTGCAGTCTTTTATTTGTTTGTTTTAAAAATTGTAGCTGGGTGGTGGTGGCGCATGGCTTTGATTCCAACACGGGGGAGGCAGAGGCAGGCGGATCTCTGTGAGTTTGAGGATAGCTAAGGCTATGGGGCAAGTTCCAGGACAGCCAAAGCTACACAGAGAAACCCTGTCTCAAAAAACAAAACAAAACAAAACAACAAATTTATCAATAACTATCTGGTCAGCTGGGTTTAAACTTTCATGAAACAATGAGAAAAATATGAGAATAAAGTAGTAACAAATACATAAAATGAAAATAAACAGTTTACAAAGAGATGAAAATAGCTGAAAGATAAGTGCCTATAAACTTACGTTTCAAATGTTAGCAAGTATGCATAGAAAATGGAATCTTATTCATTGTTTGTAGACTATAACTTGTTGAAATTACCCAGCAATACCCAGTGTATTAGTTTAGTTTGCTATGGCTGTGTAATAAATTACCACAAACCTAGTGGGTTAACATCCATTTACTATCTTGGAGTTCCTTTTGGCCAGGAGGGTGTTCACAGCTTACCTGGATCCTCTCTGCTCAGGGCTATCAAAGTGGCATGCTCCTGCCACATGAAGGCTCGAGTCTGGTAGAGTCTGCTTTCAAGCTCACTCAGGCTGTTAGCAGAATTCACTTCCTGTGATTGCAGGCTCTACACTTTTTGTTTGTTTGTTTTTCCAGACAGCATTTCTCCATGTAGCTTTATAACCTGTCCTGGAACTCCCTCTGTAGAGCATGCTGGCCTTAAACTCACAGAGATCCATCTGCTTCTGCTTGGGATTAAAGGTGTGCAGCACCACCTTCTGGCTGGCTCTAGAGTCTTACTGAATGCTAGCTAAAGGCTATCCAGGTCCTAGAGCCCATCTGTAGACCCTACTGGGTGGCCTTTTTTTTTTTTTTTTTTTTTTAAATAATTTATTTCCGTTGTTGGTTGTTTTTGCTCTTTTAGGGGACCTGCTACCACCCAGCTCCCAAATAAATAACAAATGGAGGCTTATTCTTAATCATAAATGCTTGGCCTTAGCTTGGCTTGTTTCTAGCCAGCTTTTTTTTTTTTTAATCTTTAAATTATCCCATCTACCTTTTGCCTCTGGGCTTTTACATTTTGCTATTTCTGTATTCCTTCCTTCCTTTCTTTCTCCATTGCTGATTGGTAGCTGGGTGGCTGGCCCCTTGCTTCCTCCTCTTTCTCTTGCTCTTCTTTTTCTCCCAGATTTCTCCTTCTATTTCTCCTCTCTGCCTGCCAGCACCACCTATTCTTTCTCCTGCCTCGCTTTTGGCTGTTCAGTTCTTTATTAGACCATCAGGTGTTTTACACAGGCACAGTAGCACAGCTTCACAGAGTTAAACAAATGCAACACAGATAAAAGTAACACCCCTTAAAATAATATTCTCCAACATATTTAACTTTAATTTTATATGCAATGGTGTTTTGCCTGTGGATGTGTCTGTATGGGGGTGTTGGATCCCCTGGAACTGGAGTTACAGACAGTTGTGAGCTGCCATGTGGGTGCTGGGAATTGAACCTGGGTCCTGTGGAAGTATAGCCAGTGATCTTAACCGCTGAGCTATCTCTCCAGTCCTTTTATAGGTAAGTGACAACATGACAAATTGCTTAAGGCCAGCATGAATTTTTAGTTTCCTAATTCACAAGTATTACGAAATGAAATGTTATCACAGGAGGTCTTCCATCATCTTAGTTCTGTCTGTTGGCTAGGAATAAGTAAGGGGTCCTATAGACATTCAAGGGGTGGGTATTATACAGAGCAGCACCAAGAATCAGAGATCACGGAGTTATCTTAGAATTCTGCCTACTACATCTAATGATATTAAAGACGCAGTATCCTGAGGCTGGAGAGATGGCTCAGTGCTTAAGGGCACTTGCTGCTCTTGCAGAGGACCGGTTTGGTTCCCAGCACCCACATGGCAGTGCACAACTATCTGTAACTGTAGTTCCAGGGATCAGGTACACTCTTCTGATCTCCACAGATACCAGGCACGCACACATATGGTGTACATAAATACACACAGGCAAAATACTTTTTTTTTGAGCTGAGGACCAAACCAAGGGCCTTGCACTTGGTAGGCAAGCGCTCTACCACTGAGCTAAATCCCCAACCCCGCAAAATACTCTTAAACATAAAATTTTTAAATTAAAAAGGCAGTTTCCTTGTACATAGTACAGGAGGCAGAGGCAGGCGGATCTCTGTGAGTTGGAGGCCAGCCTGGTATACAAAGCAGATGTCAGGATAGCCAGGACTGTTACACAGACAAAAATACAAAAATGGTCAGAAACAGATACCATATTGTATGGTATCAATTTTGTATAGTGAACATGAATAGGCATCATGCTTCCAGCAATGTTTTTCTGTAGTGGGTCAACCCTTCCACTACTAAAAACAACTCGGGAAAATACTAAAAACATTAGAGGTACCAAGGTAGTGTAAGATATGGAAGAGACCCTGACACTTGCCATTGCTTTTCTGAGCCTGCGGTGGGTGACTGCTGATTCTAAGACACTGAGCAGAGCTTTGGCTGTCTCATGGGGCTGAGAAGGTCCTGCCAAAGGGAAGAGACATTTTTGTTGGGACTCTCAAGGTCCATACCTATGGAGGAGTAAGGTGAATTAGGGAATAAACCAGCCTCCAAGACTACTCTGAGTAATGAGTCTTAGCTCCCGATAATGATCAGACACCAACTCAGCTATGGTCAGATATACTTGCCCGTCTTAGTTAGGATTTCTATAGTTACAATGAAACACCATGACCAAAGATCAAGTTTGGGGAAGAAAGGGTTTATTTGGCTTATACTTCCATATCTAAGTGCATCATTGAAGGAAGCCAGGACAGGAACCGCTCAATAGGGCAGGAACGTGGAGGCAGGAGCTGATGCAGAGACCACAGAGGAGTGCTGCTTACTTACAAAGGCTTGTTCAACCTTTCTTTCTTTCTTCTGTTTTTTTTTTTTTTTTTTTTTTTTTTTGAGACAGGGTTTCTCTGTGTAGCCCTGGCTGTCCTGGAACTCGCTTTGTAGACCAGGCTGGCCTCAAACTCACAGAGATCCAGGCGGCCTCTGCCTCTGCCCTTGGAGTGCTGGGAAAAAGGCATGCACCACCATACCTGGCTTCAATCTGCTTTCTTAGAGAACCCAGGACCACCAGCCCAGGGATGGCACCACCCACAATGGGCTAGGCCCTCCTCATCAATCACTAATTAAGAAAATGCCCTACAGTTGGATCTTATGGAGGCTCCATTTTCTCAGTTGAGGTTCCCTCCTTTCAGATGACTCTAGCCTGTGTCAAGTTGATATAAAACAAGCCAGCACACTGGCCCTAAGTCTCTGATAGAACACTTTCTTTTTCCCCCGGCTGCCTTGCTCAAACTTAGTTCTAATTGTATGAATACACTGTTAGTGGAGAAGGGGCTACCTATGCAGAGGGGAGTGAGAAGAGCGAGGGGAGGAGTGAGGGAGGGAGGAAGTTGTTCTAGTTCGCTCTCTATTGCTGTGATAGCACTAACCAAAGCAGCTTGGGGACAGGCATTCCAGCTCACAGAACGTCTCTGAGGGAAGCCAGGACAGGAATTCAATGCAGGAACCACGAGGCAGTAACTAAAACAGACCGTGGAGGAACGTGGTTTCTGGCTCATTCTCATCTTGCTATCTTACACAGCCCAGGGGTGGCACTGCCCACAGTGGGCTGGGCCCATCATGAGTCAGGAAACCGCCTCACAGACATGCCTACAGGCCAATCTCATGGGGGCAGTTCTTCAATTCAGGGTCCCTCTTCCCAGGTGACTCTAGTTTGTGGCAAGTTTACTAAAGCCAGCACTGGAGCCAAGACAAAGGAACATTGCATTGCCCAGGATTCAGTCAGTGTGGTTCTTTCTCTCCCTCTTTCTTACATGTATAAATGTATTGACACTGTTGCTCCTCAGCATTCCTTTTAAACTGTCTAGTTAAACCATGTCCTGTGTGTGAGATTTTCCCGTGACCTCTGCTTGGCTAGCTTAAGGTGTTCTTTTGAGCCACCACTCTAGTCCCCAGAAAGAAAGGCAATCATTTTCCTAAACATTTTGTTTGCGAGCCCTTACTCAGATCAAAGTATATGCTTTTACTAAACATTCTTATTATTGAGACAAGGTCTTCCTACGTACATAGTCATGCCGGTCTAGATAGAATTCGCCATTCTCCTGCTTCAGCCTCCCTACTGCTGGGAACACGGGCGTGCGTTACCGAGCCAGGCTCAAAAGATTCATTTCTTCATGTTTTCTGTTTAGTAACATAGTACATTACCGGGCAAAATGGGAGGGAGCTGAAGATAATAGCCACAAGGTTCCTGCAAACGGGTTGCATGTGAATTCTTTGACCGTGAGACACTGACGTATTTTGTAATACTCCCTCAGCCTCCAACCATGCCATCGTTCATCCAATAAGCATGCTCGGTGTGAGGTACCTACCATGTGAGAGGGTAGCTATAGAGATGAGAGGGGGCTCCGTCCATTCTAGAAGAGCTTAGTGACAGGACAAATTTGTTTCCATAACTTCGACGTGTCTTTACTTTTACTGACTGCAGACCTCGTCCTCAGAGACCCACGCCCCGGCCGCCGCCTGTTTCCTGGGCCGGTCCTAGCCTAGAGCGTCCGCTCGGGGAAAGGACGCTCGGCTCGGCAAAGGACGCTCGGAGACTCCGCTTCCCGGCGGCCCCCGCGGCGGGCGGCGGAAAGGCGCACGCAGGCGCGCAGGCCGGCCCCCGCACGCAGGCGCAGTGCGCACGCCGGCTGAACTGGGTCTCGCGGCTCGGTGCGCGGCAGCGGAGAGCGAGGCCTGGTGAGCGCCGCCGTGGTGCGCGCCGGCTGGTCAAGGTTGTGCGCGGAAGAGGCGTAGCGGGCGGGCGGGCAAGGAGCGAGCGTCTCACCGTCGCAGTGGCACCGGGAGCGGTCGCCTGGAGCCGGTGAGTGTGTGTGAGTGTGTGTGTGTGTGGGGGGGGGGGGTCCCCGCGGCCCCTCCCCCTCGGCGGGCGGCTCCAGGTTCCCTCCGCGGAGCCGAGGGAGGCCCCGGGGCGAAGGCGGACACGGGCGGCGGCCGGGGCTGGTGCTGGCGCGCCGGGGACCGGACCTTCGCGTCGCTCCCGTGCGTCACGGGCTCGGCGGTCGTAACGGCCGCGCGGCGGCGGCGGCGGCGGCGGCGCGGGGTGGGGGTGGGGAACGCTGGTGTTCGCTGTGAGGAACGCCGGTCGGGGCGGGGCGGCGGTGGGAGCGGCGGCGTCGGGGACTGCGGGGCGCCGGGCGGCGGCGCGGAGTCTGCGCGCCGCGCTAGGCTGAGGGCGGGGGGCGGGGGCGGGCGGCGCGGAGAGCGGTGGCCCAGGCCCGGGCGTGCGGGGCCGGGGCCGGGGCTGGGGCCGGGGCCGGGGCCGTGCCGGGAGTTGGCGGGTTACCGCCCGGGCCGGTGTTTGGAGGGAGGTTGGGGGTGGAGACGGGAGGCTGCAGTTTACAGATGTCATAACTACGCGGGCCCCGGGAGCTGCTGACGGGGGTGTGGTAATTATAGCAATGACAAGTTGCTGTGTGAGCGGTGATGCGAGGGAAACTGCCGAGCGTTAGCTGAAGCTCGCAGTGGGAGCAGAAAACTGGAGGATGACTGGAGTCAGGGACGTCGGCAGGAAAGGATGAGAGGGTTGAATGCATCTGCTTCCGATCCACTTTGCAGTGAAAAGTTTCAGATGAATTGATTTGAAACTTCGGTTTGATAAACTGCTCTGAGAATCAACAACCGAGAAATACTTTTGAAATACTGTATTAAACACTAACATCTATCCCTTTTTCCTGTTGAAACAGTTCCTTCAAACCCCACTTTCCCCCCACACTTTCTTTGCCCCCACCCCCTTTTTGAGACGGTGTTGTTTGGTAGGCTGGCTTTGAGCTTGTCAGGATTTCAGACGCACACCACGCAGCCCGGCTCAAAATTTCAATCAGCTTAGATGACTAAGTAGGTAATATTCCCACCTTTTTGTTGCTTTATTGCCTTTGCTTTGTCTTTGTTTTTGAGACAGGTATCACGATTTAGTCATGGCTGGACTAGCAGTGGATGCATAGCCCATGGTTGTCTTGAATTCAGAACAGTCCTGCCTCAGCCTTTCAAGTGCTGGGGCTACTGGTACAACAACACGCCTGATTTACTCATATATATTTTGAGACAGGCTCTCATTACATAGACCTGACTACCCCAGGAACTCACATATAGACCAGGCTGTCATGGAACTCAGAGATCCACCTGCCTCTGACTCCTGGAATTAAAGACCTGTTCTGTCACACCTGACTCCTTCCTCCATTTTAAAGGCTGCAAGGTCTAAATTTTGAAAGGAAATTGAGACTGGTTTAGCTCTGTAGTTTTGCTGAAATAATTTATTCTTGGTAGGTTACTATTTTATGTGATACACAGTTTTAAGATGGAGGCCTGAGAGGAAGTAAAGAAGTAAAAGTAAATTTACAGTAACTTTGAAGTAGATGGTAACGTTTTCTAGTATGAATGAAAGCACAGAAGAGCACAGTATTAGTTTTCAGAATAGCTTGTTTCTTAAAAATACTTGATTTTTTATGTGTATGAGTGTTTTGCCTGCATATATGTAAGTGCATCATGATGGTGCCTGGTGCTTGCAGAGGCCAGAAGAGGGTGTTAGATCCTCAGAAACTAGATTTGCAGATGGTTTGAGCTGCCTTATGAGCACTGGGAACCAGACCTGAGTCCTTTGTAAGAGCAGCAAGTGCTCTTAACTGATGCACTCTCTGGTCCAGAAGTCACTCGAAGACGACAGCTTAATTCTTAAAAATCTTAGTTCTAGGGAAACACATTGCTCATTGATAAAAGAGTAAGAGCTATTAGCTTGTGCCTAATACTAGCACTTGAGAGACAGAGGCAGGAAGATCTTGAGTTTGAAGCCAGCCTTGACTTGACCCTGTCACAAATCAAGAAAGCAAAACCTAGAATAAGGCAGGTGTGTAGCATGCTAGAGGCCTGGAGTTGACCCCCAACCCTACCAAAAGTCTTGACAGAATCAAATGTGGAAAACCTCTGGTAAAGTAGTGAGAATAAAGATACTATCTGAAATCAAATACTTGAATACATTTTTTTTTGTTGTTGTTGTTCTTTTGAGACAGGGTCTCTCTGTGAGACCTGACTGGCTTCAAACTCACAAGAGATCCACCTGCCTCTGCCTCAAATGTGCTGGGAGTAAAAGTGTGTCCCACTATGCCAGGCCGTTATGCACCTTTTATTTTATTTTTGTGGAGCCAGGGATCCATTTCCTGGACTTACACATACTAGTCCTTTGCTCTGCCACAGGACTATGTCCCCAGTCCTTGCATGATGTGTTTTTTGGTGGTCTTCATGGAATGTTGCGTATCTTGACTTTTTATTTGGAACTGCCATATACCAAATGGAAACACACACACACACACACACACACACACACACACCCCAAGATTTTGTTGCATGTAGTAGTTTTTTTTTTTGTTTTTTTTTTTTTTTTTTTTTGGTTTTTCGAGACAGGGTTTCTCTGTGTAGCTTTGCGCCTTTCCTGGAACTCGCTTTGGAGACCAGGCTGGCCTCGAACTCACAGAGATCCGCCTGGCTCTGCCTCCCGAGTTTTTTTAAACTTTAATTTATATGTATGGGGTATATATATGTGGACTGCAAGCACATGACTGTCCAGGTTCCTGTGCTCATATGTGTGCATGTGGAAGACTTTGGGCATCTTCCTCTATTGATTTTTGCCTTACTGCCTTGAGAAAGGGTCTCATTGAATCTGAAGTTTGGCTAGCTCGCTGGTAGTTGAGCTCCAGGGATCTATCTGCACATCTCTGCTCCCCAATGCCTGGTTTACAGTCATGTGCATCCATATCCCTATTTTTTTATTAGGGTGCTGGGGAGTGAAACTCATATCCTTATCCTTTCCCAGCAAGAGCTCTTACCCACTGAGCAATCTCAGTAGCCCTGACTTTTTCTCTAAAAAAATAATTTTACTAGGTGTATATGTGATTGTATGCTGCATGTGTGGGGTTGCCTGTGGAGGAGGCCAGAAGAGGGTGGTATTGAATCCCACGGAGCTGGAATTACAGGCAGGTGTCAGCTGTCCAACATGGATGCTGGGAACCAGATTTGGGTCCTCTGCAGGAGCAGCAGCTCTCAGGTGCTGAGCTATCCTTCCAGCCCTGGTTTTCTCTTTTCTTTCTTTCATTTTCCTTTTTTATTATTATTTTTAAATAAGTGATTGCCTTTATTAGGCTAATGTCTTGTCTCTTTGTTGACTGATAGGAGGCTCAATGGGTTCAATTTTTGTAATTTTCTTCATCTTCAATTATGTCATAAATTGTTTTATAATAGACAGTCATTTCTTGGGCTATTTTTGCTTTTGTTTCTGGTGCTTTCAATATTTTATCATTTTACCTTTTCCCATACACGGAGAATAGGACTATATCTTGTTATTTCTAGGGTTAGCACCAGTACTTGGGAGGTGGAGATAGGATATTAGGAGCTGAAATCATCCTCAGCACAAAGTGAGTATGAAGCCTACCTGGCCTACAGGAACCAGAACAAAAGTTAAGACCTTTGATTGACTAGATGACTGACTTATTGATAAAGGAAAATCCCTTAATTCTCTTGTTGCTTTGTTTTGTTATCTTTGTATGTTGTTTGGATTGTGAATTTAGGTGTAATTAATAATCAGAATGTTGGCTATAACAATTCATTTAGCTGAATTGAGCTGATTTCTCTCTTTTCTTAGTACAGATGGGACTTTGGTTAGAAGGATTGTGAAGTAGTGCACTGAAAATGTGGGAATGAGGACCTATGAATTGTAGTTTGTTTGTTTTTTTTAAGACCTTAGCAACAGTGCAAAATAGACCTAAATGAGAAAAGAAAAAAAAAATTCTGTCCCAATGTTGTAGACTAATTGGGGTAATTCTTGAGAGCTGGCAATAATCCAGAATGTGGATAATGGGGATAATCCTCTTCATATAACAAGAAGAATGCTGCCCTTCATATACAGAGATAAGTCTGCTTGCTCATCATGAATGGTTTTCCAGCATGAACAAGGATATGTGCTGAGTTGTCCATGTGTCCATTCTCTTATGCTTTGTGACCAACAAGACAGCTTGGGGTCAGAATGAGGGCTTCTAACTGAGGAATAGAAAGACTCACAGAAAGAAGGAAAATTCATATGGGTCAACTCTGGCTACATCAGATATTTTTCAATAATTGTCCTTGCAAAACCACTTGAGGAGGTTGCCTTACTGCCTGATTAGGTAACTTGCCCCACTTCACAGTAAGTGGTGGGGCCGAGATTCAAGCCATAAGGCTATTTGTAATATGTTTATACCAGTCATTAAAGCTTGGCTTTGTCAGCAGTTCTATCTTTATTTACATCAGAACAAACTAGAGACCAAATTTATTTATAGTTAAGAGATTGTCTTAAGTTCCTTGTTTTATGACCATTAAAATTTCCTCGGTTTTAAAACAGGATAACAAAAAAACTGCCACCCCTGTTCCGTCTCTATACATTAGACGGTACCTCACTTTATATTAATAAATACCTTTGTTTTATTGCCTCCCTCACTCCCCCCCCCTTTTTTTTTTTAAGTTCTGTAGCTTAAATTTTTCTTTAATGGTCTCACTGTAGTTCTAGCTGCCTGGGGCTTGCTGTGTAGACCAGGCTGGCCTCAAATTCACAGACCTTGAACTCAAATTGATCCACCTTTCTTTGCCACCCAGAGTGCTGGGATCAAGGATGTACATCACCATGCCTTGCTTGCTTATTTATTCATTCATTCATTTTTTGAGACAGGGTTTCTCTGTGTAGCTCTGGATGTCCTGAAACTCATTCTGTAGACCAAGCTGGCCTCGAACTCATAGAGATCTGCCTGCTTCTGCCTCCGATGAGTGCTGGGATTAAAGGCG